AATTTCTTATAAGTTATTTAATGTACATGTAAATGCTACCATTGTCTAAAAGTATTAAGTGTTGTAATGAAATACACAATTCACCAAAACGGATGCGATTTTAACTTGAATAAAACAATTTATTCAATCATTCATTCAACTCAAATTCATTGACTTTTTCTGGTTAATAAGTAATCTGCTCAGCCTGCCTTACTCTCTGGGTATAACCCTGAAATTTACATAAAATTGACTGTTGATACAATATGCAACCTCCTTTATGATAATAATATATATGTATGTAGAATACAAGCCTAGTTTTGTTTTTGTATTTGAGTACTAGTATTAAACAGTTAAACCCAAAAACTTTGACACACCTCACATGTACATTTGGTACTCTTCACTGAAAAACACTGATAGAATTAGAAAGGTAACATTTGCAAAGCAAATGCATAATGTTCACCTTCTCATATGGTCTGCTCTGTTAATTCTTACTCAAATACATTCATATATATAGTCAGACAGGAGTATAAATCCCTCCTACTGTAAAATTGCAACATCTTGTAACCCAACACCAGTTACCATGGTGAGAGACGTCAACAAATCATGAGGTCATTGGCCAGGTCAGAGGTCAGTGTTTGGAATGGAAGCCCTGTGACTACTAAAAACTACATCCATGAAACAACAGACACGGTATATACGAAAATAGTTTCACCAGGTTGGTTAAGTATAAGATATAGGGGTAAGAGTAGTTACCCCTATATCCTATAGGTAACACAAAGTCAGTTTGCAACATTTCTCATGACTGTATGCATACATTATACATACATTGATGTAGATCACTGTCTTCAATATACATTAAATAAAATTCTATTTCGAGATTATAGAGGCTAACTTTGATGAAGACAATACTGTCCTCAATATTGCAATAAACATTAAATAAAATTATACTTCCAGATCCTTGAGGCTCTAATTGTTTCTTTCCACACTTCAAACTAATTCAACAACATATTTCTGATTTCTTTGACATGTACATTAAATATATTATACAGACATCAATGTTAAAACTTTTGTTAAAACTTTGCAGCCCTGAATGCTGAATTTTAAGTACATGAAAACATTTACAGATGAAGCATGCAAATTTCTATTATTTATTAATTGGGTGTAGAGGTTGGCATGTACAGTAAAAGTACATTTTATAACTTGAGTATCTATGCAAAAGTACATTTCCTAGTTTGGGCATGTACAGAAAAGTACATTAAATTTTCCTAATTTGGGCATGTACAGAAAAAGTACATTTCCTAATTTGGGCATGTACAGAAAAAGTAC